GAGGATATCCGCGGCCATTTGGGTGTGTCCCTTTTTAGAACACCCACACACACATACACAAATGTCTTGCATTTGTTTCTTTGGTTTTTTCCAGGGCCCCCAAAAGACGAGAAAGACGAGCCCGTCTGGGCGGAACCGGCAGTGATGCAGGTGCCCATGAAGAAGCCGAACTGCCGCAGCGGCCCGATGGAGCTGGCAACGGAGCCATCGCTCGGCAACGGGTGGGCGCCATACCAACTCGTTCTGAGGGGTCGTATAAAAAGAAAAACAACACATCTCCGGGTTGAACGAAATACCCACGAAAAGGGGGGCCCGAAAATCCGGTTTGAGAAGCTAAGGGCAGAAAAGCTCGGAAGCGACCTGGGCATGGTCTCCTTTCTGCAAACTACATGTCCCCATCAGGAGCGAGCTGAAACCAGCTCGCCATCTTTGAATCAAACTGACAGGACCATGAGCTTTACACCCGCTTTCAAAAAGTCGCCACCCAGTAGGTGAGCTCACAGGACACACTGGTTGCACCTTTTTAAGTTTTTTTCCCTAACCGGACATGCTGAGTTGACGTTGGCAGGGGAGCAAAAACAGTTCAGCGGATTTGGATTTCAACCACTAAACCACGATATGCCAAAATGTAAAAATGCTTCCCAGCAACAAACATGCACGAGCCGCTTCGCCTGGGAAGTAATTATCTCCCGTCGGCGAGCCAACTGACAGTCGTTGGCCGCGCCACACATGACGGCGAACTTGGTCCACTGATCTCGGGTGAAAAGTTGCCATGCTCGAAGCAGTTTTGGGCATGTGGCTTCCTTAGCTCCGCAACCATTGGGCTTATTCATTTAAAAACAAAAACAAAAAACGTGCTGACGTGTTGTTTGCCTTTTTCTTCTTTTGAAAGAGATGCGTTCCACGCCTTTCAGTCGCAAGACGGCAGGGTCTGCTAGCGAGCTGCCGTTCGACTATGTCAAGGTCTCGAACTTCGGCCAGCTTCAAATCTGACAAAACCCTCGGCTTCAGCAAAGCAACCTTGCAGCGAAACGCAAGGTTAGATGAAGGCGGGCAAAATGAAGGTACGCAAGCTGCATGCCAGGCCTTGAAACCAACTGTTGTGATCTTGCCCCTGTCTCTGGAACCTCTTCAATCTAGGGGGAAAGAAAAGAAGCACAAGGTGTTGGTTGCCACGCAGCGGGAACCCTTCTGGAACCCATGAGAAAAAAAAACACGACGACGCCGCACCGCGCGACCGCAACCACGCGACTGCGCGCAAAAAAATCCGATACGCGCGCGCCTGGCCAAGTTGGCAAAGAAGGACGCTGCCGTCGTGGCCTTCGAGTCTTCGAGTCGTCTTCGAGTCAACACCCCAAGATGTCCGGAGGCTCAAACTGGAGAACCTCCCTTTGAAAAAACACAAAGGACGACGCAAAAAGCTTGGCCATGTTAGGTATCTGCTAACAAAGACGCGGAAAAAACCTTGGCCATGTCAGGTATATATCTGCTTGGCACACCCATATGGCAACCTTCCGACGGAAACCTCTGCTGGGGTGGACATCGTGGCTGCTTGTCCGCCGCACTGCACCGCAAAAGGGCCCAATTCCCCCCCCCTTGCGTCCAATTGACAGCTACTTTTGTTCAATTTTAGTTCAACGCTCATAAGCGTCCTTTTGGGCAAATAGATGGCCCTGGTAAATGAAAGAAAGCCAATCTAAACCAGTGACCAGTGCCATCTATTTCTAAGCAAACTAACTATGTCAACGCCCAAGTGCACTGGCACAAACACCGGAAGGCGAAGGGAGATGTCGGCCACGCCCAAGAATACGGCGCCGTTGCAGGCAGCACTTTCGGCAGCAAGAACATATCCCTTACGCCCCTGGTTTGCATGTTCGGCTACCCCCCCGTTCTTCAAACCTGGTGTTCAACGGTCAGGAACCCCCAGTGGCCCATACTGAACTTGGACTTCCAAAGCCTACCATTCTGCGATGGTTGAGAAAAAGCCTACAATCTTTGGCGGTTGCGCTGTCGCTTTTGGCCGGCCGGGAATATCTGAGGATTCGGCAGAGGTGGCGAAGATGGCCATGCCGGCCTTGCAGTACATGGACCACCTGAGCCATGGGCTGAATGAACCACCCGGATCTATATACTTTTTTGTTGGGAGGGGAGTTGGGTTTGGTGGGACATGCTTTCTATTTGAGGTTGCTATCTTCCTTTTGCTTAAGCCCCCAGGAAAAAATAAAATATGTCCAGTAGGAATAGATTCCCTTTAACACCAAAAGGGGAAAATACAGATAAAACAAATGTTCTTAAACAAATGGATGGTATATTTGGTGGGGGGGGTTGGGTTCGGTGGAACATGCTTCCTATTTGAGGTTTGGGGCTTGGTCCGTCTGGAAGGCGAAAGGATCCTTTTGGGACCCTCCTTTGGGACCAGTTCTGCGCAGGCCATGGATATTTAGGCTGTCTCCGCTCCTGCCCTGGCAATTCAAACCAAAAAAAAACACAGGGGACGCTCCACTTTGGCTTTCTGCCCTTTTAAGCCCAGCAGGGTACCGAGCTCAGGAAGGACACGCCCAAATCCGCTCCCACTCCATTGGCTTGCGAAATCCATTTTCGCCACCACCGTTCAGAAAGCTTAGAATGATTCGACGCCCCTGTAAATAGCAACAAACAGTAGCTCATCATGGTTTCCAAGCAGTGCAAGAGTCTGTCCATCCACAGTATGGCTGGCTTCTTGGCTGTGAAATCGTCAAGAGAGTCCATTTGCTTGATAACCTCTGCTAAACAGCCCGCTACATCTGGCAGGCAGCATTGGTATTTCCCTTACCCTTGGGATGAAGCTTTGCAGGCCATCTAAACCGCCATCGTTTGGGTGGGACATTCTTTCCAGCCCCTGAATGCGACACCACGTGCCTGTTGGTTTCCTAACGCGAACCACGCTCCCACGCTCACCAACGCGCAGAAGGCATGCTCATCATATTTCCATGAGAACAAAGGTGGATCCGACAAGCCCCGAACTCCCATAGCCATGATCAGCCTGGGTGGATGTCTTCTTTTTTGTAGGGCTTGGAGGACTCGTGGGTTTCTGTGTCTCTGTGTCTGCCAGAACTTCGAAGGGCCTCAGTCGGAGGATCCTTGGCGCCCAGGGAGAAATGGCCTCGGAGCCTGGAGTTAACGGGAAAAACGGATTACTCTAGTGGTACCTTCCAGTTCCATTCTTTCCTGGGATCCTTCTTTTCAGGAAACCATCAAAAACGCGGGAAAACGGATCCGGTTGCTGAAAAGAACGATGGCTGAAAAGAATGGGGAATCAACCCGTAGAATTACCAAGGCTTTGGGAATCACATCACCGAACACATCTGAAGATTCTGTTTCATTAGTCTGCCCAAAAATAGAGCCGTGTCTTCTGTTGAGGGCACGCAGCTTTTTTGAGTGGCTTAAAGGGACACCAAAAGGAAAGCCACCCCTTTTGTGTGTACCCCCCCCAAACAAAAAAGAGACATACCCCCTATAGACAGCTCAGGAGGAGACCCCCGGGGCACGCTACCGGCGATCGGATCGGGATCCCGGGCATGCGCCGTGCCAGCGCCATGTCGCCGGTGCCGTGCACCTCGAAAGCAGGCGCTGTCGCGGAAAAGGATCCACGCCCAAGACTACTTGGTCAGCTTCCCTCGAATTTGTGGTTTGGATTGGTGGTGTGGTGGTGGGAACGGCCCTCCCAAAAAAAGAGAGAAAGAAACAAGGGTGTGTCGAATTGGTGCTTTGGCCTGGTGTGGTGTGGTCTATTTGGCTTGGCTTCCTTTTCAAGGGCAGGCGAGTATTGCCTACACTCGGGAACGCCCTCTGTTCTTGGTTGACATTGGAAGGGGATGAAAACAAAAGCAGTTAAGTGGGGATTGCCCACTAAACCACAATAAGCAAAATTGTAACATGCTTCCCAACAACAACGCCCGCTGTTGACTTCGCAAAAAAGAGAAGAAAAGCAGGGAAGAAAAAAAGCATCCAAACCTGTGTCCAGCCAGGCGTTTGCGGCTAGAAAAAGCTCCAGTCCCTCGCCCAATGTCGGGCTTCTTTCTGTCACCTTGCAGCTTGGCTGCATTACAACATGGATGAAATTTTCACACAAGAAGACCTACGTGATTGGCTCACTATCTGCGCTTGGCTCATGTGCAGTTGAAAAAGGCCAACGAAATAGGGCCTGTCGGTTGGCTGATGATCCCCAGTCTGCTTTCACGCTGCCGATGTCAGTGTCCACATATGGATACAACTTCCAAGCATGTCCTCCAACTCACGCGCGTTGGGTACCATCTCAGAGGGATCCAACATGCATACCCCCGGCTCAAAATAGCTGCTTTTCGCAGGGTGGTTTTGGGAAAACATGGTTTTCTGTGGTAAATACCTTTTTGTTTAGTAGAGGGTCGACATGATACCCTGAAAAAAGCTCGGGTATTTGTTGTACGGGGTATGCTGCATATGTCTCCTCGCGCAGCTCCAATGGCCTATGGCATCAGATTCATGCGAGTGGTCCGGTGTCCACGCTGTGGAGAGTATGTGGCTATGGGTCAAAACCCAAATCGTACCCCCGGTGAGCATCCGATTCAATCCAACCACTATAGGAAGCCTAAAATGGGTGCTGAATTCACCGAAACCCCAAAATGGGATCCCAAAACGGTTTTGACCCACGGCCATGTGAAAGTCGGGAAACAGGGTTCGCATTGGTCTTCTGGCTCAGCTTGCTTCTAATTGTTGGTTTGGATTGGTGGTTTGGAGCTTCGGGGGCGGGTTCCAAGTCACCCTCTACAAGAACTCTAAATCCAAACCGCCAATCCAACACGCCAATTAGTTGGGCAACCTGATTGTTAGGGAGCCCTTTTGGTCGGCAACAGGGAAAGCCAACCAAAGCCGAAAAAGGAACACGCCAGTCGTAAATGGACGGAAAGGGTGAAACGTCTCTCAAATAAATCATAGCAGGGGTTACTGGATTCCCCCGATTCAAAAGTTGCAGTTCACTGGCGGCGTCCATTGAAATGATCGCCACGAAATTGAGGTTCCCTTGAAGGGAAATGAGTCATAATGAAAACCTGGTACAAACATGGTCAACCCAAAACCAGTAAAGAGTTACCAACGTGGACGCATCTATTTCTGGTTGGCAGTGTCCCTTACTCACTTTCACTTACCCGACTTTTGAGCAAGTGGCTCAAATGGAATTGGTGGTTTATCAACCAGTAATCAAATCGGGCAAAAATCCATCCCAACTGGTGGGCAATTGTCCACAGCAGAATTACCTCGGTGTTGGGCCAAATACATCTATAATTGACATTTGGCTTTATGAATATAGAATCTCCTCATCTTAGCATGTCAATGAACCGTTTCGAGCAGAACCCCTCCTTCATCTCTTGAAAGTCTTGTCATCACTTCGTCGCTATTCCTTCCTACATCCTACTCTACTTATTTAATTGTGGTCGAAGTGGTTCAAGTGGCGAAGTTTCGTCAGGAACCCCAGACCTAGGAGCCCCCGAGAGCCCGGGCGCGAGAAAGAGCCCACACCTCAACGCCATGGAAATCTACCGGTTCCGCGCTAAGCAAAAGAAACCGGGGAAGCAACAAGAACTGGCTGTGTGAGTGTCGGTTTTGGAGGCTACCCCGGTTTTCGGATTGATTTTTTTTGGGGGGGGGGAGGTTTAAAGGAAAAGGGACAAACGCCACCCATTTTGGGGGTTTCCTTTTAAAGGCAGGGTCTCAAGGGAGCAGAGACCGACTTAGGCATCACCGCGTCTCGACGCAGAAGTCCCTTCTCGAAGCGTTGCATGGCCGTGGTCAAGGCTAGGAACAAACATGCCTTCGGAACCTGGGGGTGTTCGTCCCTGGGTTCCACCATGCACAGGAACCCTTCAAAAGGGCATGAAGGGCGTATCTGGGTGCGTCTTGTGTCTTCAGGGTACGGGGAGAGACAACCCAAGGACGACCCCAAACATCCGACGCTGTGAAGAAGGTCCATGATCTGCGATTGAAACCGGGACCTTTTGCGGACGTCGCGGAATGCGTAAACATGTGCTTCCGGAATCCCACGTCAGCAATGGCCTTCCTGCTCCTTGCCCATTTGAATGTGCGTTTCACCGGTGATCTTGTGGCGGACATCATTGTGGGAGTTTATGCCCTTTGGAACTTGGTTGACGTTGGAAGGGGAGCCAAAATCGAAATTGTAGCATTTAAGTGGGGATTTCCCACTAAGCCACAATAAGCCAAAATGTAAAATGTACCCCAACAACCATGGGAAGGGAATTTCCAACTTCAAAATCAGACTCAGAGGGGTGTCGATGTCTGCCTCGTTTCTTTCGGGGTCGTGCTCGAGGCACACGTCCGTTTCGGGGCTGCGAGCCTGGAGGTTGCCGCTTCCGAGGTCCCGAGGCTCCGAGGCCCCGGCGTCATGCAGCACGAAGACGTCGTCCGCTCCTGGCGGCGCAGATCAGCTCCAGGGAGCCCACATCAACGAGCGGTTTTACGACCAAAGGAGCATGGCCAACAGGTGGGTGTGTCGTGTTTTGTTTTTTTTTTAAATAGGGGACCCCAAGCACGGCATCGGTTTTCCCGTTGGCTTCCCAAAAAGGGTAGCCTCAAAAAAGACACCATGTATTCTTTTGGAGACCCCGCCGGTTTCATGTCGGGGGGTCGACGTGGGCTTGTGTCAGCCGAGCCCGTTTGAGAACTCACATTGGTATCCGGAGCTTTTTGAGTAGACAATCCTCATGCTGAAGGATGCCATGTGTAGGCTTCCCTGTCGGATTGGCCTTAAATATTAAAGGACCCCTTGCAGCATTTGGCGGAGTTATGTCCTCCCAGCATTCGTGTTTTACTTATTTATTGATCATTCATTCTCATTTTTATTTTTATTTTTGTTGGGGGGGGCGTCCCTATGAAAAAGATCATGGCCAACGCCCGGCACCGTGGCAGCCGTTGACTGCCATCTGGGAACACGACGCGAACACGCCGCTCGCGTGTTTTGCGTTTTTTTTCTTCTCTGGCTGGACTCAGAGTGCAACGACCTTGCCAAGCAGCGAAAAGCAAAACTTGTGGCTTTGGCGGGGTTGAACAGCAACCTGAAAAGGCGAAACATCTCTCTGCGCGGGGACATGCAGGAACTGGCGTCATGGTTTTACCATGATCCAAGCCCCTAAGTGGGGCTAAAGAAGCAAACCGATTCCATTTGCTGACTTTGCTAACCCCAGTTTCTCTGCCTCCAAGAACCAAGCCCCAAGGAGGCCCCAAAAGCTTTCCTGCGTGCGCTGGACCAAACCCACTTGGCTCCACTCATGTGGCTGGGTCAAAACCCTGTACCCCTGGTGAACATCAAAATAGGTGGTACATATGTGTTCATCCGCCCCAAAATGGAGGCATGGGTTATGACCCATGGCCACGTGAGAGATTCAACTTCGCCAGCGGTGCCGACGCCCAGCACCACGAAGAATGACCTGAGTCGAAAGAAGCGCCTTGCACCCATGGGCCAGACACAAAACATGGTGGTTAACACGTGTGTTATGAATAACAACGTTGAGCGTCGACTTCTCTTGTGTTGGTTGTTTTGGAAAGAAAACCAACCATAACCAGGGGTGTCTTTTTGCCACCTGTGAGAAAAAAATTGGCGACCCCCTCAAAAAGGAATCCTTCGCTACGAGGGGGTCGCTCAATTAATTGTCCACAAAAGGTGGCAAAAAGAAAAACCTCCCCTGTGACCATCCCCCAACATGGCGGCTTTGATTTCGTCGCCCTTGAGAACCAAGCGGCAAAGAGTATCCAGCATCCAAACAAAACACATACACGCCAAATAATTCACTGCCAAGCGGCATGGCCAAAGCCAAGACTGCTTCACTACAATTGTTCGTGTCATTACGCGCATGGAGCCCAAAACCTACTAATCACACACTTGCACACGAGTGCCGCTAGTCACACTATTGCACACGCCCAGTCGAATCCTCTTTGCCAGCTCCACCATCTCAATCAATTCTGTAGCTGCTTGGCAACTGGCTGCGGAACACGAGGATGCCGTCAGCGAATACAAACTGATTTCATCCGTTCAGCACATTGGCCGAAGCCAAGTCTGCTTGGCTGGGACGAAGTTGGTGTCATCACGCACATCCCGGATTCGAGGGTTGGCCTCTGATCGTTATGTGAAAAGCATCAAGCACCTCTGACCCTGTGACAAGCTGGCACGGGCTAGCACAAGCAAGGACACAATATCACACGAAGCACATGATAGCACAAGATGGCATGCCCAGCACACTACCACCCTCGTGTCACAATCTTCCAAATGCACGGTCGGATTCTCGTTGTCAACTCCACAATCACAAGCAATTCTGCAGCCTGCACATCTGCAAAGTTCTCAAAAGGAAAACGTCTCACGGGTGTCTCCACTCGTCAGCAACGGACAAACGAGGATGCCGTCAGCGAATACAAACTGATTTCATCCGTTCAGCACATTGGCCGAAGCCAAGTCTGCTTGGCTGGGACGAAGTTGGTGTCATCACGCACATCCCGGATTCAAAGGTTGGCCTCTGATCGTTATGTGAAAAGCATCAAGCATCTCTGACCCTGTGACAAGCTGGCACGGGCTAGCACAAGCAAGGACACAATATCACACGAAGCACATGATAGCACAAGATGGCATGCCCAGCACACTACCACCCTCGTGTCACAGTCTTGCAAATGCACGGTCGGATCCTCGTTGTCAACTCCACAATCACAAGCAATTCTGCAGCCTACACATCTGCAAAGTTGACAAAGGAACACGTCTCACGGGTCTCACCACTCGTCAGCAATGCAGATCTGTCAAGCAAACAGCTGCTTGGTAAGTGGCTGCGGAACGCGAGGATGCCGTCAGCGAATACAAACTGATTTCATCCGTTCAGCACATTGGCCGAAGCCAAGTCTGCTTGGCTGGGACGAAGTTGGTTTCATCACGCACATCCCGGATTCGAGGGTTGGCCTCTGATCGTTATGTGAAAAGCATCAAGCATCTCTGACCCTGTGACAAGCTGGCACGGGCTAGCACAAGCAAGGACACAATATCACACGAAGCACATGATAGCACAAGATGGCATGCCCAGCACACTACCACCCTCGTGTCACAATCTTCCAAATGCACGGTCGGATTCTCGTTGTCAACTCCACAATCACAAGCAATTCTGCCGCCTGCACATCTGCAAAGTTCTCAAAAGGAAAACGTCTCACGGGTCTCACCACTCGTCAGCAATGCAGACCTGTCAAGCAAACAGCTGCTTGGCAACTGGCTGCGGAACACGAGGATGCCGTCAGCGAATACAAACTGATTTCATCCGTTCCGCACATTGGCCGAAGCCAAGTCTGCTTGGCTGGGACGAAGTTGGTGTCATCACGCACATCCCGGATTCGAGCGTTGGCCCCTTATCCTTATGCAAAAAGCATCAAGCATCTCTCGCCCTGTGACAAGCTAGCACGGGCTAGCACAAGCAAGGACACAATATCACACGAAGCACATGATAGCACAAGATGGCATGCCCATCACACTACCACCCTCGTGTCACAATCTTCCAAATGCACGGTCGGATTCTCGTTGTCAACTCCACAATCACAAGCAATTCTGCAGCCTACACATCTGCAAAGTTGAAAAAGGAACACGTCTCACGGGTCTCACCACTCATCAGCAATGCAGACCTGTCAAGCAAACACTTGGTAAGTGGCTGCGGAACGCGAGGATGCCGTCAGCGAATACAAACTGATTTCATCCGTTCAGCACATTGGCCGAAGCCAAGTCTGCTTGGCTGGGACGAAGTTGGTTTCATCACGCACATCCCGGATTCGAGGGTTGGCCTCTTATCCTTATGTGGAAAGCATCAAGCATCTCTCACCTTGTGACAAGCTGGCACGGGCTAGCACAAGCAAGTACACAATATCACACGGCAGCACATGATAGCACGAGATGGCATGCAAAGCACACTACCAACCGGGAGTCACAATCTTGCTTATTTTCAGTCAGATCCTCTTTCTCAACTCCACCATCACAAGCAATTCTGCCGCCTGCACATCTGCAAAGTTCTCAAAAGGAAAACGTCTCACGGGTGTCTCCACTCGTCAGCGACGGACAAACGAGGATGCCGTCAGCGAATACAAACTGATTTCATCCGTTCAGCACATTGGCCGAAGCCAAGTCTGCTTGGCTGGGACGAAGTTATTGTCATCACGCACATCCCAGATTCGAGGGTATCCTTCTGTAAAAAGCATCAAGCATCTCTGACCCTGTGACAAGCTGGCACGGGCTAGCACAAGCAAGCACGCAATATCACACGGAAGCACATGATAGCACGAGATGGCATGCACAGCACACTACCAACCTGGAGTCACAATCTTGCAGGACAAACGAGGATGCCGTCAGCGAATACAAACTGATTTCATCCGTTCAGCACATTGGCCGAAGCCAAGTCTGCTTGGCTGGGACGAAGTTGGTGTCATCACGCACATCCCGGATTCGAGGGTTGGCCCCTTATCCTTATGCAAAAAGCATCAAGCATCTCTCACCCTGTTACAAGCTGGCACGGGCTAGCACAAGCAAGGACACAATATCACACGGAAGCACATGATAGCACGAGATGGCATGCACAGCACACTACCAACCTGGAGTCACAATCTTGCAGGACAAACGAGGATGCCGTCAGCGAATACAAACTGATTTCATCCGTTCAGCACATTGGCCGAAGCCAAGTCTGCTTGGCTGGGACGAAGTTGGTGTCATCACGCACATCCCGGATTCGAGGGTTGGCCCCTTATCCTTATGCAAAAAGCATCAAGCATCTCTCACCCTGTTACAAGCTGGCACGGGCTAGCACAAGCAAGGACACAATATCACACGGAAGCACATGATAGCACGAGATGGCATGCCAAGCACACTACCAACATGGAGTCACAATCTTGCACACTTCCAGTCAGATCCACTTTCTCAACTCCACCATCACACAATCAATTCTGTCGCCTCCTCATCTGCATTTACAAAGGATTATGTCTTGCGGGTCTGACCCCTCGTCAGCAACGCGAACCTGTCAAGCAACAGTAGCTTGGCGACTGGCTGCGGAACACGAGGATGCCGTCAGCGAATACAAACTGATTTCATCCGTTCAGCACATTGGCCGAAGCCAAGTCTGCTTGGCTGGGACGAAGTTGGTGTCATCACGCACATCCCGGATTCGAGGGTTGGCCACTTATCCTCATGGAAAAAGCATCAAGCACCTCTCACCCTCACAAGCTAGCATATGACTGGGGGATGGATCAATGTGCATCCCGTGAGGGTGGAATTGGCTTTCGGCGGTTTGCAGTTTGTGGGCTGTGACCTTAAAAAAAACACGCAAAAGCTCCTACATCCAGTAAAATGGCGGTCTTCTATGAATCTGCCCCATTTACCATTATCTAACTATCTAACTTGGTTGATGTTGGAAGGAGAGCAAAATATAAAATTTTCGCAGTTAAGTGGGGATTTCCCACTAAACCACAATAGGCAGAAATGTAAAATGTTTCCCAACAACAACCATGTCTATCGATCGATCCATCAATCGATCTTTCTCTCGAACTCCCAGTCGTGGGCTTTGCCCATGCGACACACCTGAGATCTCTGCGGACGCGAACCCTTTTCGACCATTTGGCCATGGGATAAAAATAAAATAAAAAACGGATCGGCGCCAGTCGCTTTTTTTTGGGGGGTACAGAAGTTGACTCAGGGAAGTTTCCTCCAAAAAGAAATTGAATTCGCTCCTTATTGTTTTTTGTTCATTTAAACTCTTGAAAAACGGTGTTCCGGAAAATTATCGAATTTCAAAAGACGTGTCCTTCTCAAAAACAAGAAGGAGCCCTCCGGAGCTCCCAACGCGAAACGCGAAACGCCGAGCCGCAGGAAGTTGATGGCGATCATCTTGCCGTGGCCGTAGACCAGGCAGTAGCACGCGTACCTCCCGTTGACAAGTAGGAAGGGGAGCAAAAAAATTCGGGGGAGAAAAAAAAGCTGTTCAGTGGGGATGTCCCACTGAATTTTGCAGCTCAGTGGATTTGGATTTCAATGAGCAAAAATGTAAAATGCTTCCCAACAACAACCATGTCCCAAACTGCGGTTGGATACACGGCAAAATTATGGAGCTTGAATTTGAACCTCGTGTCCTTTGGGCTTCCTGGAGGTTGAAACGCTTCAATTAAATTTGCCGTACAGAAAAAGAAAAAAAGAAAAAAAACGTGTTCGTTGAAGAGTCGGGAATTTCACGGAGATTGAAACATGTCCAAAGACGGCAGTCAGCCTTGCAACCTCTTACGACCTACTGTGGATGGTTGCGAAATCCATTTCGCACCACCTAAGACACCCCGGAATGATTTGATTCCCCCAGAAATACAAACAACAATGGCTTCGCATGGTTTCTTTTGCAGGATTTTTTGTCCATCCACACACTACCAGCCCTTTTCGACCGCGCGCTTGAAACCTCGGCAAGAACCGATGTCGGCGGCCCGGCCCTCCGGAGGGCCGGAAGAGGAACTGTACGGCATCTGCAGACCAACCTCTTGTTTCAAGCCACCATTGCTTAAACAACCTCCTGTTGGTGTTGGTTCAAATGGAACTAGAAAGTGCTGAGTAACCAGGCACAGACGAGTGCAAAGGGGTTTCCCTGAATAGAAAGCGGTTTCCGTCTGGAAGGCATGGCATGGCTCAAGTGCTGTCAGCTTGACTGGCCAAATGTTCTTGTGCCGGTGTTGAGCATATAGAGCCATCCTTTCCGTGTTGGGCCACCGCTAACTTCCGAAAATGCAGCAAGAATCCGGCAGCACCCAAATGCCGCGGCTGGAGTTACGGTTGGATGAAATTGCACTTGCACCATTGGAGCAGGAACAGTCTTCATGTCGACTGGAATATAAGCTGCTTCCACCCAGAAGTCAATCATCTTCCCTCATAGCATGCCGTCCAAAGAAACAGCCATCCGTATTCACAAAATTCAACTGCATGCCAATGAAAGACACACACACACATGTCTGGCCGCAGTATTCGGTGACCAAAGAACACAGGCAGGACATTGATTCTCTCCAAACAAAAAGGCATCCAACTGCACACGTCTTCAAACTGCGAACTGCGATCCCCAAAGTGGAGATCACATCATTGGCATGGCCTTGTTTGACTCGCTGAAAAAAGGTGTTGGATCGTCAAGCTCCCATGTTGATCATTGGGATGTGTTTCGGAGAGCACCCGGTTTCAGACAAAGAGCGTCTTCAACTGGGTTGCGCATGACACCCCCAAGAGAATGGCAGTCCAATGATGCAAGATTCACTCCGCAACAGGAACCGGCTGGCTCCACTCGCAATCGCGTGGGAGGCAGCAAGCACAAGCACTGCCAGTCAAAAGGGTCTCAACTCAAAAAGCGATGAATTGTGGCGAACATCACTCTAACAGTCAGCTGCATAATTATTGACAAGCCCACCGGAGCAACATGGCAGCGCTGTTGCCGAATTAAATGAAACTGACAACTGAGTGCCGTCCTGGTGGCTCAATGATCCTTGTGTGTGTGTGTGTGTGTCAAGATAGGAGGACCCGAAAAAGGGTACCCTCAAAAACACACATACACACCACCGTTGCGGTTTGTTTCTGCGCATGTTCTTCTCAGGTGGCGGGATGGCGTGGCGGGTGCCAAATGGATCCCATCTCAGGCTTCATCTCGCGAAGCCGTCACTCAATGAGTGCCGCCCAAGGATCGCCCTCCTCCTCGGTGCATTGAGTGCTGGGCACCCCCAGAAAACGTCCACCCCTCGGTCCCGAAAAAAAGGCATGGGGCATTGTTCGGGGCCGGCCTGAAATGGGCCCCGAAGCCAAGCAAAAAGGGGAGAAGCTCGAATAAGTTGGTACCCTGATTTTTTTTTCCCGTAGTCCATTGTAGTTGGTGAAAGGGCCACCTGGAGCACTGAGCCGCTGTTTTCTGCAGGCATTCGGAATCCCAGTGAGTAACTTCGTGTCAATAGTTCAGTCGATTTGGCCATGGGTGAACATCCCAATCCCCAGTGAAATAGACTAAAATGGGTGGTGAATTCACCTACCCCAGAATGGTACCATTGGTTTTGGCCCACGGCCATTTGAAGCTAGAGGCTATAGAGTTCTTTCCTGAGCGTAAACAATATCTCCGGTACGTCTTGCACTGTCCCTGATGACCTTTCTGGCTTTTATTTGAGGCCGGCCGTTCCTGAGATCGAATCGCTGAGACATGTTGTAAGCTATTGGACGACAAATCTACTTCCAACCAGCCAACCAACCCACAAACCAACCCACCAATGAACAGACCCACTTGGTTGACGTTGGAAGGGAGCAACAAAAAATAGTTGAGCAGTTAAGTGGGGATTTCAACCACTAAACCACAATAAGCAAACATGTAAAAACTGTTGCCCAACAACAACAACATTCCCAACCTCCAACCAACTCATCCGCTGTCCTCCAGCGGGTTGCACCAGACTTGTGGCCGCGCTCTCTCCAGCGCCTTCTGTGCCTGCGTGCAAAGCCCGGGTTCCTGTGGCAAAAATCGGTGTTTGGACCTCCATGTGCGGAGTATGGACGAAATCCACAGAAACCCAGCAAATGATTCCATTCCCCAGTAAATACTAACCAACAATGGCTTCCCATGGTCCATTGCCATTTTGCGGGCTCCAAAACAAAACAACACACCCCAATGGAACAATGCCTACAAAACCTTTTGCGGGTTCTGAAACAGAACAAAACACCTAAATGGAACAATGCCTCCAAAACTGACAAAGCAGCCCTGCAAAACCAAAATCCTGCAGCTTGTAATCTTGACCCAGGATTGGGGTGTTCCCTCCAAAAGTGTAACTAATCTGAATCCCCACTAAAAGGAATTGGACACCCCCCACACAAAATCAACCAGGGGTTCTGCCTCATCCGGGGTTAACATTAGACTCACCGGCTGAGTGGATGGCCACAAAAAAGTCCAAGCTTTACGTTTTCCACTAGAATGGTCTTCCCAAAAAGTCTAAAGTTCATGAACTCAGGAAGTGAGTAGAGGGCTTCCAATGCCGTTGCCCCGTCCGCGTCGACCTCCGTCCCGTCGGCCTGAAGTTGCTGTGCCCGGCAGCACCACCGCCGCAGCCGCGCCCCGGAGGAGCGGCTGGCCTCGGAAGGTTAAAAAAAAAAGCCCTGGGAACGGGGCACGGGAAAAATAAGGACTCTTTGGGAAAACCATTTTGGGACTTGTTTTTGTTGGGCCTTATTTTGGGAAAGCAATTTTGGGAACAGTTGGGAACTCAAAGGCCCTAGTGTGTTCCAAAGGGAAAACCATTTTGGGCGTCAAGAGGAAACAGGTTTGTTCTTGGCTTGATCTGCATAGTGCATCATTGTGTTCTTACAATCTGTTTTAATGTCTACGCTGGTATAATTTGGAACCCAGAAAGACTGATTCACGAACCCTGGAAAAAGGACCCCCCGGAAAAATGAACCCTATTTGGAAGGGTAGGCTTTCCCCGATTTCGGGAGGTGATGCTGCCGTGCGTAGTTGTCTATGCAGCGCAGTTCAGACCAGAGGCGCTTATGGCGGATTCTGGTCCGAAGGTCTTCCTTCAGGTAGCATTCTTCCCAGAATCTTGAAAGAGGTACGCCCCTTTGGTTTGCCCTTGCCCTCAAGACAGGCAGCAACACCAAACATAAAAAGTATGTCCCTTTGAAACATTCTTTACCCAAGAGAAAAATGGTCCCTTTGAAGCACTCCCCTTGAAAGGGAGGCTATTTGTTCCACTTGGCCCCAAGGCGACATTTAGAACAACGAAGCTCGAAATGAACTTTCGCCCATCCACAGCATTTCCGCGATTTTTTGCCTGGCAGCTAATGTTGACCCCATATTCATCAAGCCCTGTTTGTTGACATGGCGGGGTATTCCGCTCCAAATGGCCTGAATCCCCACTAAAACCATACTAATCAGCAGGGGATGATTACCCTGCCACCAATTAACATGGAACCTGACGTTCGGGGGGGCCTGGAAGACCATTTCCTTCTGACTGGACCCCTGAACGTCAGGTTCCATGTTGATTGGTGGGAGGGTAATCATCCCCTGCTGATTACTATGGGGGTGCTGCGTTTTAGTGGCGACTCATGGCCCACTTTTGGAGGGATAACTCCCCCCATGTCAAGGTCCTTCTCCAATTTGAAGGACCCCGCCTCCGGCTCCAGCAGCGCATGCCACAAATCCACCGTGGCCAGCTCCTCATCCGCCCCTGCGCGTGCAAGCTTCATCGATCGATGGATGAGCGGATGAGCGGATGACCGGGCGCTCCCCAAGGTGATGGGACTCCAATAACGGTTTTTGTCTTTTGTTGACTAAGGCTGGGATTTGTCCTAGGGATTGTTTTCCGCAGGGCTGGCAACATCCCAGCATCTCTTAAAATAAAAGGATCTATGGGACTCCCTGGAGCCCGAAATATACACACCAAAACCTGCCCCCCCTTGCAACAAATGGGACGCGCCAGTCAAATGGACCAAAAAGGTAAGACAACTCTCAACTCCTTGTAAGGGCAACCTCGTGTCATAGCCACGATTAAATCTAAGAGGTCATGCATCCAGGTTGGTGTCCTGTGGCACACCTCGACATCGGAACCAAACTGAAACAAACGTGCCATCTACTTTGAATCCAACTACAATGGACCCCTATGGCCTCTCAAGACAATGTGTGTTTGTCACTCCAGATATAACTTCTTGAAAACAAAAGTGCCAGGAAAGCCTCGGGTGCGGCTGGTTCTTGAAAAGCAGGATGGCTGAGAAAAGAAGCGTAAATCAAGCCCAGAACCTGACATCAAATCGGAAGTTCCCATGAGCAAATGGAGGAGCCACCTGGCGTGTCTCAAAGGGATTTAAGCTCTTTTCGGGCAAAATGGGACCGCTTTCCATGTGACCGCTTTCGGAAAAGCTCCGAAGCTCGCGTGTCTC